GTGTTGAACAGGTGCTGGGGTCTCACGTGCAGGCAGGGATACTTTAAGATTACAGCCGAAATGGTAAAACCTCTAAGGGGTAGATTTCAACAGAACACAACATGAATACACCAATTCACATCAATGAACCGAATACACGTAATGTCTGACACATTGATGCCAAATCAGTGTATTCGTGTTTTGTTGTTATTTTTTGTCTGCCCCTGAATGGCCTACTGTTTCTATGTATAATCTCAAGACCTCTTGTCGCACTGAGCCTGCTAAAATGATCAAGGGTCAGGTAAATGAGACTGAGCAGCAGTGTGTTGATGGATTGTTGTTTGAGGTGGTTTCTGATGCGGGGTACTCCATCCCGCAGAGGTACTTAAAAGGATATGGCTAGATTACTAGCGCAGTTGTTTCCTGAGACTGTAAAGATCATGTCTATCCAAGTATACCAATTGCCCCCTATATCAGGTCTGGATACAACTCTCTCCTGTAAAAACATTTTTCTTTTGCACCTGCTGTTAGCATGCTGCTAGGGCAGAAAGTTGTTATAAGCTAAAATAGTAGTATAGATAGCTATAGGGCTAATAAGGCCCTAATAGCTACCTCAAGAAAGGAACCTTTTTTATAATACTTATTCCTAATAATACTAAGCTTTGTAAACTCTTTATATTGCCCTCAGGCGCTTTTTCCTGCTCGGTATTTACGGCTTCTTCTTACCCTGATATTCCGGCTACGTGATCCTTCGACATTCCGGGCTCTGCGCTAGTAGGAGAGTAACACTCGGGGAAAGGGCCTGCGAAGCTCTCTGTTGATGCGAGTAGATATTGCAAGTGTTCTGGGTAGAGCAGGATGCGATGGTAATTATAGATTGTTTAGCTTAGTACGTCCTGTGCTCTTCTAGGAGACTTTTCGGGGCCAATGGCCCCCTGGACGAAAAATATATATACATATATACATCAGGTTTGGATACTCTCGTGAGCGACGAAGCGGAGGAGGAGCCTAAATATTCTAGACTAGGTTCACCAAGAAAGTATTATATAGTTCTTATCACCCGCCCTCAGGACCCGGAATAGATACTTATTGATAGGAAAGAATACCAGGAAGCCGCTTGGGATCTTTTAGGCTCATCAGAAGACTCTACCCTCTTGGCTTCAACCAGGAAGTCTAAATCGATAAGTAAGACTTCTATTGCATAGTCTGCCGAGCCAAAAGGCTCTACTGGCAGAATCTTATCGATGGTTTCTCCAATAGTAACTCTGTTTTTAAAGCTATGCCGTGGCTAAGGTCTCCAAGGGCATTTTAGCCGCTACTACTGCAGGTTAACGATGTTATCTATGAATCTCAGATAGACAAGGCGAACGCACTCCGACGAGCCACGCTGGAACGACGAACCGCAGAGGACGACATCACAGGTCTTATCCAATAGACACGGAGCCAAACCCAAACTTCTTGCATAGGACTCCATTATTTAAGAAGTCAATAAAAGAGTTCGTAGTATATTCAGGGCATACGACTGCAGCATGTGATCTTGATATTTGAACGTGCGCCCCAAATTAATCTCCGCGGGTTCTACTAGTGGATTGCCTAAAGATGATCACAGGGCTCTACCAAGTTCGCACGAACCTCTGGCCGCAGTTGAAAGTGACTCCCACAGGCATGTGATGCTCTATACTCATAGAAGTCCAGAAGTTACCCATAAGCCGCATGCCATGGAGGAAGGCTCACAGGCTTCGCACGGATGGCCTCCTCAGTGCAGAGGCCTCTCTTTCCTGCCACTTAGTGCCTGAGATCCGCTCCTTGTCGGTAGCGAACGTGATCTCTTCAGTATTGGCTGCGAGGCCGTTACCAATTCCCTGTAGGTCCACCCATTGATCTGGATTGATCTGTCCGTTAAATTGCATTCACCTGCCATCGTATCTCTAGACGCGTCATCGGACTCATAGTGGCTGCCACTAGGCGCCTCTGTGTCTGGACCAACCCCGCATGTTGCACGTATGATTAAGAACCTGACTTCACCTCAGGTGATGTGGTCAGGCCAAAGAGAACACTATTTTAACATTAGTGTGGATGAGCACCAAAATCATGGTGTCGGGAAAAAGCGGCAGGACAAGCTAGAACAATGTATCAGACCACCGGTATTTCGACTAACCACTACCTGACCCCTCACCCAATACGCTATCGAAAAGCCGCCAACAAGCGTCTGAGCCATGGCTCCATTATGACATTTGACTTGTTCGTGATGTGGTTCAGTTCACCGTGGTGCGTTGTTTATGGCGGAAAGTTACGACTATATGTTCGAGAAATCATTAATAGAAGTCGTAACTGATCCCTTGTATACGAGGGAACAACGCGAAATGTAGCCTTCATATTTTATCATGTTCTACTGAGACCTACCAGAATTTCAACAGAAAGTCGATATGGAAAGACGATTCATCCCTTACCCTCCTCCAGGTAATTCAACCAGTCAGAGCAATGCCCCCGCCTCGGGTACGCCTATACCGTTTCTTGGGGTAATGGGCTGTATCATCGGTCTATTATTAGTAGTTGTCATTTTGTACGCTCTTCGTTCGAAGTTTTGTGGTCTATATCCATATTAATAAAGCCAGGTATATTACAAAATCGCGATATACAGTCCATCTACAGAAGCTCAACAACACAAACCCATCACAAAAATACGAGATAGTGAAGGAGTGGAAGAAGCAGGCAACGTGGACTTTAACGCAGCCTAGTTCGGCTGAAGTCTGGTAAGTTTCAAGTCGGAATGAGAGATTTTCCTACCCCTACTGATATGAGTATAGTGCAATATGCATCGAAGTTCTTAGGGACCAGGACAATGTCCGACGATTAAAATGTAAACATGTCTTCCATACGGGTTGCATCGACTCCTGGTTCCAGAGACACCATGTCGATTGCCCGTTATGCAAGTCAATATTCATTCCAGACAGGCGCAGCGATCCTGAAGACGTTCCTTAGGCGAAGTTTCATCAGCGAGGGATGATTTATGCAGGTGTTGGGGTTCTAGTGATCGAAAGATATGGAGATCGAACCTTTGAGGGGTCGTGCAAAGCCAGAATAATACTTGACAAGGGGTTTTTCTTTTTGCAATTCGCTTCCTCCTATACGCGAGGGACGTATATTTCATTACTATTTAGTATATGATGGTATTGGTACGTAGGGCATGAGTCTTACTTACCAATGTTATAATTCTTCTAATCACAGAAGTAATCCAAATCCAAGACTGTAAGCTGAAACTTATACTTTTATGGCTGTATATTTGCCCAGGACGCGCTTTCGATCAGGGCGTTAGGTATGGGACTTATAGTGTGCGCATCAACGACTTCAACCAGTAAATAATGAGAACCACAAGAGCTTCCATTTCAGGCTGACAACCTCTGTGTTGCACCCATACCTACACATACCAATCTTCAGGTGTGGCCATTCTAGAACAGGCGTATGTGGCTTTGGTCGTCAAGACCATATTTTAAAGCCTCTTTGCGCAAGGGACACGGCAGCTCACCCACGATCAACGCCTTCCAGGCCGTATGCTTATTACCGCCGGCTTCAATTATAATGACATAGCCAAACGATTAGGGATAACCTCAGGGCAGGTTCAGTAAGTTGTAATTGCTCTTTTCACTACGCCTAGACGCCAGTCGGGTCAGCCTAGCTTGCTAACAGACGCCCAGGCCAAGACCAAGTCCTCCCGTCCCTCTTTGCTAATGGACTAAAATAGCCTGGGTCGAAATGATCGAATTCGTACGCGCCTCGAAGACCGGTTGCGGCATGTCCTATCGAAGGATCTTTCAAGCCCTCAGTCAGGACCGCTCTGAGTACGCTATCCGCTATGCCTCAACCGCATTGGCTTGAACAGATATGCATTCTGCGAGCCACGGATCACACGCTAAGAGTCACATCGGCTGGTCCATTCATCCATGGAAGTCTACTCTATTCTTTAACGAGGCCTCGGCTAGAGCTGGAAAGTCCACGAACATGGCTAACGCGAAGGCGCGGCCAAGCCCTCGATCCAACCAGCATCATTGAGCGTGAATGACAACGTCGCTGAACACTTTCCAGAGAGGATACTATAGCATAGGTCGCGTGAGGTTGTCAATAATCCTTGGGATAGTATTGGCCGGCCTTCTAGCGTGCGACCTTGCTTATCTCAGTTCTGCATGCAACTTGACTCGGAATGCATACCTGCGATGTTGACGGGAAAGTTCAATCGGCAGGGTTTAAATTAATTGACCAGTGTAGCGGTCGATTCGCAATTATGAATGCTTTGGTAGCCTACTTCCTCAGAGAAGAGGGTAGTTGGTTGGCTAAGTTAAGAGGTTGACTGCCTTTGGTATAGACCTTAGGGCTAGAAGAGGCAGGTTCTATGATAATATGTAACGATCCAAGGTATTGGGTTATTATTGTAGCAGTGGTTCTGGACCTCCTGATTATAACTTTGTAGCATTATTTGCTAGCATAATAAAAGAATCGTCCAGATCATATCGCAAGCTGCGCAGAGGGTGAGATTCAATTGTGAGACGGTTTGACCAAGGAGCAAAACCTCTTTCAGACCGACTTCAACTACTAAAACCATGCATTTCTTTCGCGATTGGGTCATTCGTCAATTGTGTCTGTGCTTACATCACATACAACAGTTAAGGCCATTTTACATAGGTTTCACTACAGCGTGGACACATTGCGTAGGTATATGCAGATGTATATAATGTTGCATTACCAGCTGAGGCAAAACGTGTGCACGGCGCTAGCTCTGTCCCTAATAATGACATGTGCCTTAAATGTGACACATGGCATCGAAATATACATCACGCTCAGCATGGGATTACACCTTTTCTACCAATATCAGAATCCAAGGCATGATCCCAAAAAATATCAAATCAAACAAATACAGCACTTGAGCTGCTCCCGTCCACCCCTCCTCACTCTCTTTTACAGGACCACGACCTCCCGCAACTTTGCGCCCCATGAATTCCACACAAACCATAAATCCCAACCCTAATAGTCCAACTGCCATTCTTACACGTGCTTTGGCGGGGACCTTATAGCGGTTTACTAGCCAATTCGCCCAACCAATAACAGCGATAAACATAAGTGGTGCCTCAATAATTTCGGCATGTGACGGAGGGAGATTGAATTTGGGGATGACGTATAGATGGCGGATGGTACCAAAGAAGAAGCCTGTGGAGAAGACAACGCCGAAATAAGTAAATGCCAGGCGACTTATAGTTGAGACGGGAAGATTGGAGACATTTTTGGCGCGTGGAGTTTTAATGTTCGGCGCCATACTTTTCGGAGATGATGAATTTAAATTACGAGTAGAGTTTGGTATTGCTATACAAAGCATGGCATACAACCGACTTAGAAGTTAGGAAAGAGGGGCATGAGGTATTCTGCTGAGAGGATATACCAAGTTATAGATTGAGGCATGATCTGACGGCATCACATAAGGTCCACCGTGAGACAGACCCACTCGACTCCACAGCGCCCCCTTTGCTTCCTCGGTGATGGCACGTACCGCAGACATTTATCGAAATAAACTTTGCTTCCTCCGTGATGGCACGGACCGCAGATATTTATCGAAATAAACGCAGAAGCCCAAACCAGACGTGAACAGATTATACACGACGAACCAGGCACTTTACAAGTCTACACAGACGGGGGCGGTATCCGTGGTCATATTAGAGCTGCCGCAGTCTGCACCACCAACTGGGAGATTGGAAGCGTACACATAGGTCTGTCATTAGCATTTTGCGGTTGCGTGCATATGTAACATATAACGCAGTAGTTCCTCGCGGTGGCCACGTTGCTGTAAGCCTGAATGTTTTATTCATAGATGCACTGCGGTGAGAGAAGCCTCGTGGGTCATTTTCGTTCTTCCTTTGAGATCATGATGATAAGAGTGTGACTTGCATTTCACTTAATGAGTACATGCTTTAAGCTTGTCCTAAAGCTTTAAAATTAATTATTAAAGTAATAAAAATAATTATATATAACGTGTTTGATAAGCATGTGTCGCAGACAAGCATGCGTCGCACTACTTTATACACCTTAAATCCGGTTTTTAAAAACTCTTTACTCTTTAAAAATCCAAACTAAGCCTAAAATAGCTATAATTTTTATAGCATATATATAACTCTTAAAATAAGCTATCTTCTTTTTTTTTTAAAAAAAATCTAAGAAAATCCTATATAAACTTAAAAGTCTATTTACACTGTAAAATACACTGTATTTTAAGGTTTTCTATATAAAATAAAATAGCTAAAAGTCTTTAAAAAATACTATTTAATAAAACTAACTATACTATTATATAAAGTATTTTTTATATATTTTTAACTATTTTATTTAAAGTATAAATCTCTATAAGGTAAGCTATTTTTAGCCATACAGTGCAGTGCGACGCTTACTTATCTGCGACGCTCGCTTATCAACCACGTTAAGGTTATTTTATTAAAGGCTAAGCTTTAAAATCTTTAAGATATAAATAAGATATTAAGCTAATATTAAAAGGTAAAAAGGATTAAATTATAAAAAAGAAAGATTATAATTATGTAAGAAGTATTATAAAGTATTATTATTTTTACTTTAGGTTACCCTAAGAATCCCAGAGAATATGCCTGTCTGTCTTACTAAAGCAGCTTTTTACGCCAATTATAATACCGTCGTTCTTGGCCTGCAATGGTTTGCATCGCAGGTCGTGAGAGTCCCGGTCCACACGATACAAACATCAGTAAACCAGATTCTTCCTTGGGAGGAATATTGAACCCGTACCGGTGACAGGAGAGTTATAGTTCAAGTTCTGTCGGATGTACTGGAAAACTGGGTACTTGGTCGAGCCAACACTAAGCTGCTGGAAGGTATAATGCGCAGAGACACTCTGTGCCAAGGCCATGATGGCCGCAAATAAAGTAGCGATCTTCATGGTCGACTTTACAAGCAATGGATTGGCGTCTGTGGGTATAGTGAGTAGGCGGGGGTCCCTTAATGGAGAAAACAGGTCCCATTTCCAGATAATCCCTATTTTACGTGGGAACTAAGATGAATTTTGGGAACGGGCCTTATTCCCGGGTTGGTAGTAAATAAGGACAGTTATAATAAGGTGATTAGTGCACAGGTGAGAATGGGTCGCGTTCCTGATTGAAATATATAGTACAGTGACGCGTTGCGGTCGGCGAGCAATTGGTCGGCCATTTCTTCCACACTACGTAGTCGCGTGGGAATTCCCCGCGAATCTAAGTCTAGAATAAACTGAACTATAATCTGTTCCTCTGAGTCAGAGAGTTTACATAACTCGAAGACCCAATTACTTCGAGATTGAATGCCCGTCTGATAAGGTATGTCGTTTCATGTAACACTCTTACCTCGGCGGTTAAAATCTACTAATTACTGCGTTCTTGTTGTTTTAAACTAAATTAAGGTTGTTTCTCTGTGCATTTAATTATTAATAAATAAAAGCTTGCCTTAGTGCAAGCCAAAATTTTATCGCCCGCAGCTTGCCACTGTTTTATACGGCTGAGAACTTGTTTCTCGCGTATGCCGTGTTGATTCCCTGTGCGGTATGTGAAAATAGATAACTTAAGTAATATTTGAGACCAGGCTGCCGGCATGTTGATTTTGCCAAGTTTCCGCCAAGCCCCTTGGCGCTAAGACGTCAAATGAGGGCTTGACTGCTTTCAGCTCCTCCCTAAGGCCGCATCTTGAAAGCCTACTTACCTCAACATCAACCAATAGCCTGAGTCAGCCTCAGCGCTTACTTGTAGACTGTACTTGCAGCATCATTAACACCTTAAAAGCTTTGGCCACAGAGCTGGACTGAATCGAATTTAAAAAATAAAAAATAAAAAAAAAGAGCGCTATCTTTAGAAAATGCAATAATGTTTATAAATTCAGGTTGGTTTCCCAGCTGTATGAGGAAAATTAGTACACCCGCATTCACATTCGTTTATGAACACTGCGGCTCAGTTTTGCATTCTCCTACACTCCTCAGAACGTCATGACCATCTGCGAATTCTTTCTAAGGATAATCGGCGTTGGCGAGACTAAGTGGAGAATGGTATGGTTCATGTTGGCAATCCTTCGTAAGTAGCAATCCTTACATCCCCAACCAATATGCAACAAGATCAATGCTTACAGGTTGCTAGTTGCCCTCATTGGTAACATAACTGTCCTTATCAGCTGCATATCACCAAGTGCCCAACCTATCTACTTGTTCCGTGTCGGGAGTAGTGAACTCGTCAATGCAACCGCCAACTCAACCGGTATTCCTACGAGCAACTCCAAATCGACGAACTTCCGAGTGATTGGTACTGGGGGCTTTCGGGTAGGCATTCATACTCCGCTGTGCTATAATTAACTAAGCCATTGTTCCTTTACGTATATGTGTCATTCACAGTGATACTGATGAGAAAGTGTCGTGCAAGCAAGCTTTTCCGCCCATAATAAGCATCGAAGAGATGATCGCTTTTGCTATTGAAGCTAAGCTGGGAAGAGATGCAGAATCTTCAATCGTGGAGGAGAAGACGTCGCCCTGGACCACTGCACTCGCTCGAATCGAAGGCAAGCTTACCGAGCCCTCACGTGTTAAGGCCCTCTGGCAAGGTGCCGCAGCTTTCACCGTCATTTCAACCCTTTTGTCTTCTGCTCTGCTTGTCCTTACGGCCCTGTATTTCACCGCCCTGCGTGACCAGCTACGACGGTGGATGCTCTACGTAGTTGCCTTCGTCGACGCCATGACGTTTCTCGGTGCAGGCGTGATGGTTGGGTACGCTATGCGTGAGGGACCAAGGGGCATCATGGAGCTTGCCGGGACCTCTTCAGAGAGAGGAATCTATGGGGCAGGAAATACCGCATTCACCCTCGGTGTGCTGATCAATTTCTTGTCCATGGAGCTGTTCCTGTGTCTTTTCATTTCGGGCGTGCTTCTGACTGTCTGGCTTGTTTGCGCTTGTTTGAGCATGTGCCGAGATGATAATGTGGTCAAGGTCGAGTACATACATAGGTCCGACTAACAATATAGCACTATCTACCCCAAGCACCCAGGACCATAATGACATTTATGGAACTAAGACTGCTCTCTAGGAGATATGTAAACGACTTATCATCATGAGTTAACAGGTTTAGAGAACACTGGAGGAAGCATGAGTGCATAACGACTGTAAGCGATGGCAGTCCGGGAATGATTGATAGTTTAGGTAGTAAATAAGCTGAACGAGGCTTCACTACTATGGGACATTAGTAAGAAGTGGCAGAGATCTCACGTTGAATAATGCTGAATTTATACTTGCTTTTGCCCTATGTTCTATACCCCAAATGCTGAAGAACGCGGCTATATTTTTAAGCAATTGATGATGCCGGACGCTGAAGTCGTTAACGCACTTGGAGAAGAGAGATAGCCCAGTAGCATACGTCACTTGGTTCTGCTAGATGGCAGATCCCGCCATTAAGAATGTAAATTCCGCTGCATCTCCGCATTTTGACAGCGTAACCCCACTGCTATCTGGACAAAGACCAAACTCAGCCGCTGACATAATGCGACTAGATCCTCTCTTAATCCCGAGGCTCGCGCTTCTTTATTCTTTGGAAAGACAGCTTAATGTTGCTTATTCATCCCTGGAAGTAAACCAAACTTTTCTATCTCTTCCAACATGTCTTATCTCAAGTGCTACGCTCACGACGATGTCGGAGCTCGAAATAAGCAACAGTTCAAGTATAGCCAAGCGGTTCGTGTTAGAGACAAGATTGAATGTACAGGACAAGGGACGTCCCTTTATCTATAAGGATTCTTCAGTTACTAAGATTCGCATAGGCGGATAGAACCAGGAACACGCGAATTCTATATGGAAATCAACGCAGAGATTGACCAAGCTTTCCGGAACTTAGAGCTTAATCTCCGTGATGCGGGAGGCAAGGGTTAGGAACAGGTTTACCGGGTCAATTCGTATCACATTCCAATCAACGAGGCACTAGAGGCAATGGTCAGAAGGTTTAAGCAGTATATGCCCGACCACGAACCTATATGGGCTTGCGCCGGCGTAGCAAGTCTCGTGGAAGATGATACGAGAGTCGAGATCGAGGTCGTTGCACAAGATCCCTAGGGGGCGAAACGGCCTAGTCGCGCCAACAAGATGATGAGAAGAAGGAGGTTAATTCTCACCTTATAATGGCGCGAAGGAAGCTTACGCAGTTATTCTCGACTGAAATAAAGTTTAATGATGCATTAAGGTTGATACAGTGTTGTCATATCTGAACTATCGAGGTGAATAGAAAACGGCAAGGCCCAACAAAGTTCAAGGGAAAAGTAATCTGCTTAGGATCTATACAGCTTAATTGGCCCAGTTATGAATTGGCCAGTGATGAGATGCTTGGTAAGACTACGTGAGCATCAGATATACAATGCCAATCGTTGGTCCGATCCAGTACTATATCCTCTACATATCTTAATATGGCAGAAGGTTAAAGTTAAAGTCATAAACAACAGGATTAAGACCATTCCCAAATTCCCCGAGCTGATCAAAGTCCAGATTTCTGACTGCAACATTTCCAGGATCTAACAGCTCCAAGCTAGCAATTGGATCCTCTGTACTTGTATCATGAAAGTCTTGTGCTGCCTCGGTTTCGACAATGGGAAGCTCGCGATGTGAATTTAAAAAGTTTGGCTCCTCCTGAAAAGCCAATGAGGGAACAGACAATGTCTGATCTTGAGATTCGGCCAGAACCTCGGTGACTGGGGGAGCGCTTGTTGGGAGATCCCTGTGCTCGGTCGGGGGTAACAGGCTCGGCAAGACTTCATCAAACGCATTCCAGACTGCAGAAGACACCATTTCAAAGAGTGAACGCTCAGATACTTCAGAGCTAAACTGAAACCCTGGCATATTTCGTACATTGGCGTTTATGTCTCGTATCACACGGGCGGGAACCTCCTGTCGAAGAAAGCTGCGATATTGAGCTCGCGTTTCTGCAGTCATGGGTGCCTCGAGGATTTGCAAATCACAATCTATACACAGGTCAATGGAACGATTCCGAGTAAATGTCCCAGATAGAACTTACATGGTGATGGTATATCTTCGGTTTTCGGAAATAGAACCTTGTACATATGCTTCCACTTTTCCTCTTCGGAAATATTCTGGATGCCCCGCCTTGACTTGAGACGCTCTTTAGTCTCGTTATCGATACCTGGCATTTCTCTAGATGGACTGACGACTTCGCAAGCCGGGTCCTGACGGAGATGTGCATCAAGTTCTTTCTCCGTCTTGACTATTCTAAAACATCTCTTACAATAAATCGGTGCTTTGTGAGATCTATAAATATGCTCCCTATTATAGTCAGCAAATCGTGTCTTGACTTTAGTAAGCAGGCTTGTGCACTTTATCCGGTGAACGCTTGGCCAGCCTTTTTGGCACCGAGGCCATCTCTCTCCGGGATATTCTTTAACAAACGGGCAGGCAAGATTTGGTACTGATCCCGATGGCGCGCTTTCTGTCTTGCGACGTTTTTCATCATCGCCTCCGTTTCCTCTGCCGCCAGCATTGGTATCATCACCCTCACTCTCTCTATCATCGATTCCCCTCTTCTTGCTATTACCATCACTTTCAGTCGGTGGGCCACTTTGACCACTGAATTGCGTAGAGTCAGAAGCCCCTGAATTCTGATTGAGTCCTGGTGAACAAGGTTTCACCCAGGCGACAACCCGTTGGACAACCAGTGCGGTGATCGTATCTTTCAAGGCGGTGACAGAGGCTAGGAGGGCTGGGTCCAGAGAAGAAGCGAGAAAGGCCTCTTCGAAAGACTCATCCGTTTGCTGTGAAACGTCAGACATGGACTCGTCGGTTTCGCTTGTATCAGTTTCAGTCACAGATGTGTCCGAAGTCAACCCATGTTCCGTATCATCCTTGCTAGAGAGAGCTGTAGAACGAGCATCAAATGTGGTCTCGGTTCTCGTCCCTGTGGATGGTATCATTGCTTTCGCTGGATGACTCCGTGGGGTAGAGAGGTGACCTCTATCGATATGATCATCCATACTCAGTCTACGCATCGACTCACTCGGAGGTCCTGCATCTGAGAGTCGTTCCTCAATGGTACTCAACTCTTCGTCGGGATTCTCCTCAACCTGACGCTGTCCACTAGCAAGCGGCGACTGTACTTTTGGTGTGTTGAATGATGAAGAGAGGAGTAAACCTTTGTTCAAACGACGCTGCTGGGCAACCCAACCAGCCAAAGCCACCTGATCAGACACGGTCAACGAGCTGTCCTTGACTGATACAAGTGACGCGATCGAATCAGTGGGCTCCGATGCAGCAATGAGATGTTGGTATACTGGAATATTTGCTGATGCCGAGAGTCGTTCCTTGGTTTGCGGGTCGAGGTACGGGATAGGCGGCACAGGAGTCTTGTCATGATCTCGATGGTTACGTAGCGATTCTCGGTATATATTGAGAGATGAAGAAGATGACAGGGTCTTTCTGAAAAGAGATCTTCGACGAGAAGGCGTGGAACTGGCCCTGCCAATGGACGAGTCGTACGTGCTAGCAGCTGAAATTATAGAGGAAGGCCGTGTAAAGCTAAAGGTGGAGTCTCGGGCAGACGTCGAGGCTTGGAATGTGTCCTCGGAAAGCCTTCGTAGAAGATCGAGTTCGGATGGGTTGTATGTAGCAAAAGAAAAGTTTTGACCATACTCGGGGATGTCTGTATCGCAAGTTGAAGTCACTGGTTGACTCTGAAGCAAAATGTCAGCACTTGGATCAGTGTAAAATAAAAAAGAGGCTACATACCAGGCTGCGCCGGCGTATAATATCGTCTTTTTCTAGAACACAGTTAACATATTCAGAAAATAGGTAGGTAGAAATTGAGCATGGATTCACCTTTCAAATCTGCATTGTACGGGCCCAAGATCAACGCAGATGCCGGCCTGTTGGCAAAGTCGTATTGACTACCCACTCCCGTAAGCTCACCCAAATGTAGTGGCAGGATAGACGTCGAGGTAACTCGTTTCCTTCTCACTCCTGGATAAGCCTTGATCCATCGGCGATGGCTTTCGGATTTGGCTGCGGGGCCCTCTCCATCGGTTCCGTCCGTCTTTGCTGAGGATGAGACTGTTTGGTCTACAGGATGTTGTTGTAACCCGGTCGGCACCACCTGGACCACGTTTTGTATTTTCGAATCGGTAGAGCTATTATCCCTTGGAGCATCCAGGTCATTGTCCGTTGTCGGCGAGGAATTTCCATCCTTCCAAAGAACCGCCATCTTCTCTTTGAGGGTATTAGACATCAACCGGGAGGAAGGTCGTGCTTTGGCATAAGAGGGGAGCAAACCCGGGGCTTTGTTCAAGTAATGTCTGCCTTTGTGCTTGAGGCGCTCACGCAAGGATCGGGGCTTTGCATCCGTGGTTTGTTGGCTTTTTTCAGGCGTGGTCCTGGGTGCCACGTCGGCAGCTGGCGGTATAGACGAGGACATGGCGGGCGGGTATAATAGTGGGCTTTTGCAGGGCCAAGGCAACGGCGTAACACTTACACGCTACAATTACTGGTAAAGAATTAAAATGCGAGGTTTTCGGGGTGAGTTGTACAAAGAGAAAAAAACGACAATTGAAAGTGGCTCCATGTCTGGCTAATGCTACTGACCGCCCCTGGGTCGCCTTGAGCGGCCGGCTAGGCGTTCTTTTTGAGCCATGGTTCGCAAACTGCAGCCTACAAGGCGCTCGTTAAGACGACTTGCATGTCCCATCACCTCATTTGGGGGCAGAGTTATCATAGGCTAGGCAGGGGTAGAGAAAAAGGGTGGTGGGGTTCGTCTGCAGTTTTGCGCATGCGCATAACTTGGGATCGCAGAACAACAGGCCGCAAATATTCACTTCTGCAGAAAGTAAAATAAAGGTTGGGCAAAAGTATATAGTAAGTAGCAGTATCTGGGTCACAGTCTTCATTGCGCATGACGGAAAGCTAGCTAGTAAATGAGTATGCAACGTAAAATACATTAATATGAGACTTCAGGCTGGCATATAAAATCATGTGAGGTCTTTACGACCGGAGAAGTTCTGCAATTTGGAAGAGATTAACCTGACAAAAGTTGCTGCAAATACTGTGATCTATTTCATTTAACAATGCCAACCCCATCGTCAAATGTTTCGATAGTACCAAATCAGGGGTCATCCTCCTCTGTCACAAGGTTTGTCTGACATCCCATCGATTAATTAAACATATACTGACCCGTCCAGCAGTAACACCACTAAAGCGTCCCCGTCTAGCGCTGGTCTCTCGCCAACTATGTCGCGCTTCCTTGGGGAACCAGTCTCTGTCAATACATACATTGCATGCGGAGGTAGTGGCTAAACGAATTAAGAATGTAACTGCCGGTCGTTTACATTGAGGCCCGGCTGTGTACTATTGGGCTTCTGAGGCATTGAAGTGTCGTTTATAGTGTATTTTAATTAGGAGATAAAACTCAGGACATAATATCAACCAGCTAAATAATAATTAAAATACTACGCCACCCCATGCACATTGGAGCGGCGATGGGGCGCATGGG